TCCTCTTCACGAAGGTAATGTTTCACGGCGATTGCATATGCGATGAGTAGATTTATGACCGTCTTCTTTTCTATAATTATCCTAACGGTTTCTTTATCGTCGTCACTATCTTTTACGCTCACCCAAATACATCTGGTCAAATTTCTAATCGCAACCGTCATCGATGCCCATAATCGACGGCCTTCCCAGTATCTATCGCCAATGATAATGTAAATAAATATTAAATCATCTGGACAATATTATTTTATAAAATTACCTGTCGTAGGCGGTGTTGGTTCTATAGGTGAGTAGCAAACCAACTACAAATCCAAGCACAGGAATGAAGGTATTTGGTATGCTCATTTTTATTTTCGTCTCCATGTAAAGTGCGGTTACGACAGCTGCCACAGCTGCGACAACTATAGCGGGAATTATGGCACTTTTGATGACAGAACCTTTATACCTCAAAACGTGCGTGCGATGACGCTTATAAGGTGTATAAACTTTCGGCTTCTCCACGCGTCTAATGTCATGTTTATCCATCCCAAATTTTCTTAGCTAGTATTTTGATTAGTTCTTCGGTTCTTGTAAAAATGTGAATGATGTTGAGAAAATTTTTCTGGTATACTGTATATATATGCGTATTACTCCATGTATAATAGACCTTTACGTTTCACAAACTACCGTAAAAACGATGGAGAATATTGTGTGCACTATACAAATAATCTTCGCATTTTAATCAAAACTTTGCATATTACAGTTAGCATAGGTAACGGCGGTGGCGCAATTTTTTTTTTTTTTTTATAATACAAGAATATTAATGAATACCTAAGTCCTTCTTTAATCGAAGATATCCTGTTAAACGTACAGTGTGTATATTCTTCGAGACATTTCCTATGCTCGAGACATGTCATGTTGTTTATGTATCTTATCGGTTATTTACTTTTCATAAATTATGTAAATAAACCGGCAAGTACTGTTTCACTAATAAAGTTTCTAGAATTCTATCAGGCCTATGGAAAATCAAATTTCCTAAAACCCGTATTTGGTAATGCACAATGGTTTTCTAATATAGTTCGCACAATAAATTAAAAAGATTAATTTAAAATTTTCAGTGACCTTTTTTTGAATACATAATTTTTGGCATTCTTTTTTATATCCCTTTTTATATTTGGTATATTAAATATTAAATATTAATTATATATTTGTAATTATTAATTATTTATTATTTATCCTTGATTATTTGTTATTGATTATTGATCTTAATTATTAATTTTTTTTTTTTAATCACCAGCTCAATCTTTACTTTATTAGATATAATTTTTAAATATCAATATAATATATATAAAAAATATAATTGTAAATCTATAAAGCTACGATATAACTATACTGGTCAATCTCGGGCATGTTGCTGTTTCTGAAGTGAGAACTAGTGAAGGGCCACTAGTGCTGAAAAAAATTTTTATAGGGGGGGAAGAAAGAAGGTCGAAAAATAAATGAGTGGATGGGATAGTTAATCTATATATACAATTTTTTGCTATGCGACTTTTTCAGGGAAAAGAAAATTTTATTCAAAATATTCATTAAAATCCCTTAAGTAGTACTAAATACTCATTTATATATGATAGTGGAAACACCAGTGCATGATTTAATCATATTTCAGATTCCTCAATAATTTTTGTGCAATATTAGTTGTGTTTCAGATGCCTTTACCTAGGTTCTTGAAAAATACGGGAATCTCAACCATTACCTTTGGTAGTCGATTTGTGCTCCCTTATGAAAGCTCCCAAAACATCAATACGGATCATACACAGGAGTAAGATACTAATGCTTAGTAGGAAGGAGAAGTCTTTAGGATCACTTTTTCAGGGAGGTATAGGAGAAAGGAAAGTAGGTTCAATCTCATTTAGAAATGGGAAGAGGT